ATTCATAGGGTTGAATCATATCTCATTGCTCTTGAAGCAACAGACTTATTACATCTTGACATTCGTCCTGATCTTGCGCTAGAAGCGGTTACCAAGGATTCCGACAATTCTGGAGAGCACGGTGAGGAACAAACAAACTTTCAAAGAGGAATGGGCAATAATTATGAACGATTAGAGTTTCTTGGGGACTGCTTCTTGAAGATGGGAACATCGATATCTCTATACGGTCTGAACCCTGATAGTGATGAATTCCGCTACCATGTTGATCGTATGTGTCTGATTTGCAACAAAAATCTGTTCAACACGGCTTTGAAACTGGAACTTTACAAATACATTCGGTCAGCAGCCTTCAACCGACGTGCTTGGTATCCTGAGGGACCGGAATTATTAAGAGGAAAGATAGCCACGGCACCAAATACCCATAAGCTCGGTGATAAGTCAGTCGCAGATGTTTGTGAAGCAATGATTGGCGCTGCTTTACTAAGTCATCACGAAAGCAAATCCATGGATAATGCAGTTCGTGCCGTTACCGAAGTCGTCAATAGTGACAACCATAATGCTATTGTATGGTCTGATTATTACAAATTGTATGAGAAACCAAAATGGCAAACTGCTGTAGCTACAGCTACACAAATGGATATGGCAAGACAAGTTGAGACGAAACACCCATATCATTTTGAACACCCACGCCTGTTAAGGTCAGCTTTTATCCACCCGGCATACTTGTTCATCTACGAAAAGATTCCTTGTTATCAACGTCTCGAATTTTTGGGCGATTCGCTACTCGATATGGCATGTGTCAACTTCCTTTTTCACAACCATCCAACAAAAGATCCACAGTGGCTCACTGAGCACAAGATGGCTATGGTATCCAACCAATTTCTTGGAGCTCTTTGTGTTAAATTAGGTTTCCATAAACATCTCCTGACACTTGATTCTCAAGTTCAAAATATGATTGCAGATTATTCCTCAGATATTAATGAAGCCCTCATTCAAGCCAGAGCAGACGCAAAGAGAGCCGGTAAAGCAGAAGACGATTACGCTCGTGATTATTGGATTGCCGTTCGTCAACCTCCTAAATGTCTTCCCGATATAGTAGAAGCATTCATTGGTGCCATTTTTGTCGACTCTGAGTATAACTACGGTGAAGTTGAGAAGTTCTTTGAAATGCATATTAGATGGTACTTTGATGATATGAGTATCTACGACACCTATGCTAACAAGCACCCGACCACTTTCCTTACAAATTTCTTGCAAAAAAACATGGGATGTGAGGACTGGGCACCAGTCAGCAAGGAAGTACCTGGAGAGGATGGTAGAAAGAATGTTGTGATTTGCGGGGTCATTGTACACAATAAGGTAGTATCAACTGCCACTGCCGAAAGTATGAGATATGCTAGGGTAGGTGCAGCTAGGAAAGCCTTAGTAAAGTTGGAGGGGATGAGTGTCCGAGAATTCAGAGAAGAATACGGATGTTCATGTAAGGGGGATGTTGTTGACGAAGAGGGCAACATCAAATTTGTTGAGCGTGAAGACGGGATGGAGGGGATTAGTATGAGATATCGAGAAGAGGTTGTTGGAAGTATTTTGAAGGAAGCTGATGGTGATTTAAATGGAGATGAAAAGGTGAATGAAGCTGCGGGACCGTCGACAGCATAAAAATGAGAGTTATGGGAGATTTTGAAGCGTGGAATTACAGCCATGAGAAAACGGACGGAGAGATTTTCGATACTTCAATCACGACTTTACGATCACGAATTAAGCACGACACGATTTGGCATTTTGCTCGCGATGATGGGTAGACAGCATTGCGTTTCTCGCAATCCACGACACGACTTTCAGGACCATGCTTTCCACGACCAGATGATTTCATAGAATTTTAGTGAGCAGGCAGCGACGACACGATGATATTCCAAAAGCTTTTCACTAGCGAGTTTCTTCTCGTTTCGTTCAATAAGTTTCAATTGCTTGAAAGCATAATTACGTGTGACATTTTCTGCAAGGGACACAGCCGGTTTTTTCATCGATCACAATAAGATGCGATGTGCTGTGAGATGATGGCAATTTCTCCTCACTGACAATAGATCATACATGCATGGCCGATGCATAGCTAGCTAGCTTTTTCTTCAATGATAGTTGAATAGCAAAAAGAAACAGCTAAAACTTTTCATTTATGTGTTCGAGAAATGGTGATTTAGTTTTGGCTGACTTGATCGTTTCATTATATATGTATATGTGAAATGTAAGTAAATATTGAAGTGAAATCGAAATGCAACGCCAAAATTCTATTAATTCCATGACATGAAATGACGTGGCATACAAACTCCGATCTGAAATGCTCCAGCTTCGCTTTCTAAAATTGGTAAAAGGGACATTACTTCGTCTAGTTGTGGTTTTTTGTTTCTTCTCTTGCTGAGTGTGGGTGATGGCATGATGTGATATGATCTCGAAACTCTGGAGAAGAGTATCATCTCATCCCAGATTTCGTCATATCTCCGACTTTCCATCCCAAAATGCGTTCTCGTACTTAAACCAAGACCCTCCTCAACCCCCCAACGCCACCCAGCACCCTTCTTCCACTAACCGCACATCTACCTGCGCCACTTTCCCATTTTCCTTCTCTTGTTTCCCTGTACTTCTCCTTTTCCTTCTCATCATCTTTCTCACCACTTGCTACAACCTCTGTCCCTCCTTTCATAAATGTCTCTTGTAACTCGTGTAGCCCCTCGATCCAACGATGGATACAAGTATAACAGTATACATATCCCGTTTGACAAGCCGTTGGGGTCGTTATTTCTTGTAAGCAAATCGGGCAGTTCTCTAGAGACTCGGTGCTTGAGGAAGAAGGTGCAGGAACAACGTAGATTGGGAGGTGGGTGAGAGTCGAGATGGGTGGGTTAGTGGGCTCCTCTGAGGCTCTATCTTCTGGGGATGTTGGAGATGCGGGTTCCGGCTTTGATGAGGATGATGGTTTGGAGGGAGTAGTGGGAGAAGGTGTATACGAAATGATAGGCGGTGGTAGCTCCAATCCCTCCGTCGCCTTCTTCGACAATTGTCTCGCAAAATCACTCGCATGCCACCATTCCAAAAATTTGAGCGCAAAAATACTTGTTGGCAATAATAACTTTAGTCCAGCCCCTAACCTTCCCATGGCTAATCTAGGATCCAACAGACTTCTTATACCCAGGTTACCTCCTGGTGTCGCAGATGAGGGGGCATTTGCAAGGGCTTCAAATGCCTGGAAATCTGCTTGGCTTAATCTTCGTATGCGAGTACCTATGAGCCAGAGGAAGGGGTCGGAGTAAACTCCTGAACCGGATTTTGAGTTGGAAAATAGGTAGCGTAGATTGAATGCCAAGATGCTAAAATAATACGCAGCGTTGACGCTGGGATATACATTAGTAAGAAACCAGCGATAGTAATGGAGAAATCGTTGGCGGAGTGTAGGATTTGGTGGCATGCGGGTGTAATTTGCACCGAGGAGGGCGCGAGGTGCATTTATTTCTGCGGATTCATCGAGGCGGCGTTTAAGATAGGGGATTCCGACCAAGACAGCGAGATTTTTCCATACATCTTTTGTTGTAAGTTTTGTTGCTTCTCGTAGACTGGCATTGGCGCCTTCGGCAGTCAATTTCAAGGAACCTATGGCGGGGGGTAATGCTCGTTCGCGTTTTAGAGAGTAAAAGTTCTCGACGAAGGAGGAGGAGTAGGTTGTTAGGTAGTGATGTTCGATTGCTAGGAAGAGAAGGGCGTGGAGTTCGTGGAAAGAATTGAGGATTGGAAGGAGATGGCGTGGATGTCGATGGGTAGCGACGGTTAGGAGGTAATGCAGCGAGGGAGGTAGTAGAGATGATAGTTGAGTTGAGGAGAGTAGTTCGAATAGGGAGGGTTTGTAGGGGTCGAGGGGTGGTTCTGAAGACATTATGGATGCGCGGTGAGGTTTGCTGTGCGAGGTATTGAATGGCTACTTTGGGTCGTAGAAGCTGTGATGAACAGCTCAGATTGTAATGGCAAACTTTGATACACAATGCAGATAGTTATATTCGTGGTGTTCGTTAAAGTTCGTGTGAGAATTCAATCCTCAGCTTCGCGATTCGATTGTGATGAGCTTGTAGTTGAGAGAGACGCCAATGTCGAGATTATCAGATGAATATTGAAAGATATTAAAATTGACGCTATTTGTGATTCATATGGCATAATAAATAACCGCAGGCATTATAGACAGATATGAAAAAAGGAGTTGAATGTTAGAAGAGTCTGTTAATGAGAAGCTCTCGAAGTATGAAGGTATCGCGAGGCTGCAATGCCGAGGTTGAGAGGTTGAAGCCCATGATTACATAATGTAGCATCACGTGTAATTTTATGCTTCGCCAAGTTCGCCTAGCTTGCTGAGTGCGCCCCGCAGATTTCTACATTTGAAAAAAACCTGGGGTAGCTCATATTATTTCATGTACTATATCTAGGAGCTAGGCCCCCTAAGGTGTGACTAGTTTATGGCAAAAACAGTGATATCTGGGTTTCTAACAATCTGGCTGGATTTATCATGGATATCTTAGATTTTAAATTATTCTATTTCTTCAATTCATGCTTCATATTCCATCCATTCATTTATATGCTTGATCGGATCAAAATCTGAGAAATCAGTCTACGATTTGATAACAAATTGAAAAGTAAGTACACTAGGAAGCTTAAAGTATCTGGATCTGCACAAATCTAGCTGAATAGTTCATAGACTAGTGATGCTCCGGTCTGGACTAGACATGTCAAAAAAAGGTACTGTGAGGAGTAGTCTTCTCTCAGCTTTTTAATGACATACAAAAATCTTCAATACTTTTATTTATCTGAATAGATTACCTGCTCCTCTGTTACTATTTTTCATCTTCTACGTATCACACGTTCATATATCCATATATATTTGTACATTTACACATTCGCATCTACTCATACTTGTATACGCGGGTATCATATTATAACTTCCTATCATTTCACACATTTCCAAGATGTCTTCCTCGGATGAATTCGTCAATCTCACATACAAACGTAACGGAACCTCAAATCTGACCTCTGCTCCCATTCCAAAGAGAAGCGAACGCTTGACTTTTCTCAATCTTCCTAACGAAGTTCTACACGCTATATTCAGACAGCTTCTTAAGGAGGCTCAAGACAAAAGTTCAAGATTCTCTAACTATGGAATTCAAACGAGACATATCAAGAATGCACTCAATATGCTATCGATATCCAAGGATGTGCGAGCTAGATTTTTGCCAGAATTTTATCGAGAAACGATCATTCCGATTACACTAGACCTCGAGGAATCTGATTATCTGGGATACCCTGAGATTTATGAATCGGAAGGAGGCTGGATAGATATAGTAGAAGCGGCAGACTTCAATTTTGAAACAATACCGGTCCACAATGAGCATGAACAATACCCCGGTCTTATTGAAAGTAATCGACAGAGATTGGACAAGTTCTTAGTTCATCACGGCAGTCAAATCAGGCGCATCAAGTTGAACATTAGTAGCATTGGGGATTATGCTGGCCCAGTCTTATCTGAGGACGCGGACTTGTACAGACTGTTCAAAGCAAGAATCCAAAAAGTTATTGAGCAATTGTTAGGAAATGGGGAAGTAGGAACACCAAGAAGGAGGAAAATACTTGAGCTTAGGTTGTGTGTTCAACCAGACCGTGAATACCCACAAGAAGACGAAGACGAAGACTACAATAACTACACATTTGAGTGCGCGTGCTTCAATATTCTAATGTCACTTCTCGAGCCATTGAGAGAGCACCTTGATTCAAAACAATGTGCGAAGTTGGATTGGAATGGGGTCTATGTTCTCAAGGCTACCGACATCAATTGCGGAATCTTTTCTTACGAGAGCATTTCATTTGTCAGGGACATGATTACTGATCTGACATCAGAAGAACAGAATTTACGATGTCAGTGGGCAAAAGAGCAATTGTCACGAAACGTCGAGGTGGACAAAGATCTCGTATCATTGCCTGTAGAGAGGAATGAAGATCAATGGGTCAACTTCTGGAGGAATCACAGGGATGTAAATCCGTACCGTCTAGCATGTATCAATTTTCTCTATCCTAAGGGTATTGCTCAGGCGCATAAAACACATCCTGTAGAGTCTGAATGGGTTCTAAAGATTCTAGAATCGTCTTCTTTGATGTGGGACATTCATGAAATTCGACTCGTTCTTGATTTATTGCGTGAAAGAAAAAGAAAGTATTGTCTTGAAAACTAAATTGTCAATTCTATTCATTTTGGGCTTTGAAATTGGAACAGCGTTTATCTTTTTGTAGTTCACGGAGTTGGATTTTGGTAGCAGGAAGTATTCCAAGATTGAGCGTTGGAATATTTTCCCTTTACCATGTGTATTTATGTTATTTTCGCATAGTGTCTAGAGATATCAGTAGCGGATGTCAATAGTAATGTAATAGATTGAACAAATATCCGAAAACCATGTCCTCGTGAACAAAAAATAAAGCCCACAACTATTAAGTTTCATAATCCAGAACGATTTTTAGGAAGATATTTTATGCGTCGTTTTTCTAGACCCGGAATAGTATTATCAAACTCCTTCGGAATAGAAATCCAATATTCCGCCCTATAGCACTCACATTATGTAAGACTATGCCAGATAATATCCAGGTAATAATAATTACCTCTAAAATTAGGGTTTGGCGTTGATAAGAGGTTCAAAAGTTCCTACTCGATCTGTGAACAAAAACAACAGACCTCATAAACATGATTCGGCAAACATTTAGGAAGTCAGGCATGGCTTCGCTGTTATTGGATAGCTTGATGCACTTTATTTTGTATTGAGATGCTTTTTCACTCACTATCCATTTACCCAGAGAATTTAACGGGCAGTATTATCAAGAACACTTTCTTATGGATTAATCACAGAAATAATCCACTCGCTTATATCAATGCTATCTAACTTCAAAATTCGCAACCCCTTCATCTGTTCGATTCCTCATATACAATACATCTTCTATCTTGCTCACATCTCATATTGTGTAATTCAAAAACAGACAATTTTATCACCAAGATACATCATTCATAAAATCCCAGAGCACATACCTAGATAACGCAGGTGGTGTAGAGCAAAAGCGCCACCAACGTTCACGGCACAGAGTTGTGGGACCCCCTTAACCTACCCCGGACAGAATCCGGACCCATTTTTATAAGGCTGATTTAACCTACATTAACGACTGCCTAGAAATCTACTCAAAAGGAACTTCTGAATTTCTTTTTTCCAAGACTTTTTACTTTTATGGTTTGTTTTACTTCTTAAGCTATTTTTTCTTTTGTTCGTGGTTTTTCGTCGCAGTTACGTTATTGAAAGTGTGTATATTGGCGATATTGAAAAGATTGACCCTATCATCATGACCTCTCAGACCCCTTCTCATGTACCCGTTGAAGATAAGGACTCTACGACAATTGACGAATCAACAGAGAATCATCACTCCACTCTATTATCAGATGATTTCCAAAACGCAAATCACTCCCCCAACACCGGCAGCAGCTCCGCTCCACGACTTCCACCCCCTCCTCCTCCTCCCCCCAGTTTCCCCAAACCCTTCACTCCAGCAAAGTTACCACCCGTTCCATCTCCTCCACCTATCGGCCCTCCAAATACCCTCCTCATAGAACTCCTCACATACAACGGCTACCCCTACAAAGACCACTGGGCCTATTTCATCCGATCTCCCTCCCACACCTCCATCGGCGTTCGTCTTCACGCCACTGGAGATGTGAGGAATGGGTTTCGTTTTGAGATTCAGCATGAATATAATTTATATACCACTGAGGATATTCCTACGAAGAGGATTCCATTGCAGTGGGCTGACGGGGGGAGAGTACCAGATGCTGGGGGTTGTGGGGTGGATGTAAGTGTGAGTGTGAATGTGGATATGTATAGGAGAACGGTCTGTGCGTTTGAGAAAAGTGTAAGAAAAGCAGAGGTACCCGGGAAGACGTTAAATTCCGTGGTAGACGAGGTGTGTGAGATCTTTTCATATTCAATTCTATTCAAGTATCAAAGGCTTTTTATTTTCTACCCCTTATCTCCTCCACAGCAGATTACTCCAAATCCACATCACACATTTACCACACTAACATACCCCTCTCCAAAGACGCACCTAGGCAAAAAAATCATCCAAAAGGATTGTCAATCATGGCTCGTCGAGGCCGCCGACCACTTGGTGCAAGATGGAATTTTCGAACCCGAGATTGCGGAGTTTCTTTACGCGGCTAGACAGTGATTTGTTATATTACTGCACCACTTCATAGAATATCATATCATAGATAGAAAAACCACATCATGCTTCGAGTTAGAATCGGAATTGAGTATGCTGAATTGGTTCTTGGGACATTTATCTCAGCATTCAAATTCGAATAGATATACAGATGGGATGAGATAGGATGATATAATCTGCTGACCAAAAAATTCTTTCCGTACTTCTACCCTAGGAATCTTTTCTTCAGTAAAATGTTCATATACCTATCTACCTACCCACGTACTATTCAATAATGATTCAGAAACCACGCATACCCTATCCAATCCTATCTTCTGATCTCCACTTATCTCATTTCCTTCCATGTACCTAGTAATTCCATCCACACACCCCAGATGGAAATTCTCACTCCAAAGTCCACACTGCTCTAGAACTCCATACTATCCTATCCTATCCTATCCTATCTACCAGGAACCAATCATCGACGATCTATCTATCTATCATCCTATACCTACGTACATACATCACACCACCACCTTCCACCTTCCAGTTTCCCGCCTCATAGTGTCAACTCTCGATATATCATCACTGAGCCATAATCACAATCACATGAAAATCACATGATCACACCATCACAAATGTAAAATTTTGAGAAAAAACATTATCATCATATCATAACACATAAGATCCATTCCCTATCCTAGCTTCCTCTTCCCCAGCCCAAAAAACAACAAAAAAAATCGGCTCGATTAAAGTCCGATATGTCCTATTCCATCCCATCCCATCAATTCGATACTCAAGTAATCAGCCCTTGATACTTCCATATCCATATCCATAACCATTCCATCCATTTATCCATCCATGCTTTTCTTGTTCTCAGTTCCGGTCCTTATTAAGACCTTGCTACCTGCGTGTCTGCTATGCAGCCACGACGCTATCCTTCCCAAACGAAAAAAAAAAAGACAAAAGAAATCAATAATCCAAGCGATTATTATAAATGATTGTTTCCAATCCAAAGATGGCTTTCTCCCAACCCAGACATCAAATCCTAACACATCCACTCCCCCAATTCTCCTTCCCAAACCTTCCCCCTTCTCCTCTCCTTCCTAATTTCCAAATCCAAATCTCCCACACTCCTCTCCTCAATCTCCACTCCAAATGTCTCCGTCTTCTCAATCTCCAACGACCCAATCGAAATCATCGATGAGAGACTATTACACCTCGTTGTCGCACCACCCATTCCCATACTGATTCCACTTCCGCGGAGGCCCAGACCCGCGATGCGATTCCGAGAGTCGATGGAATTGCGGGAGTCTTCGAGGATGGTGTGATTGGAGGAAGAGAGAGAGAATGCGGCGGCGGTAGAGAGGCCAGAGGTGGAGAGCCCGGATGTGGATCCTTTGCGGGAGGTGGAGTAGGAGGAGTGCGAGCAGTGGGAGGAGGTGATGGATGTTATGGTTGAGGAGGATTGGATGCGTGGTTTGGAGTCGAATGTAGGTGAGGGGTGGGGAGAGTGGAGAGAGGTGCTGGATGGGCTTGTGGATAGGCTTGTGGAGCGCGAGTTGGAGCGTGATGAAGATGGGGATTTGAGCTTACTGGAGAGTGGAGTGTTAGTGTCAAATATGAGGAAAGATATAGTATGGGAGAACTTACAAGAGTTTTTTGATTTTTTGTATATTCGATGACGATGACGATGATGATGATGATGATGAGGAAGACATTTTGATTGTGTGCAAGGATAAGATTTGATTTCAGATTGAAGAGCCTCAGTGTTCAACTTGTGTGGGTTGAAAATGATATGATTTCAAAAGGAATTCTTTATATCCAAAAATATGTAGACGGGTATAAGTAATAACTTAAATGATATTCCCAACATTCTAGGATAATCATGCCATTAAGTAAAAAAGAAATACCACGTTCGAATCCTCCAAGCTTCAGGCACGGAAACTCTATCCAATACTTAGTTTCCCATAACCGTATGATTCTCATGTGTCACTCACTTGGCCAAGGACTAAAAGATCGCAAGCTCCAGATATCAAGGAATTATCTATCCACACGCTAACATTAATTTCATGGCGCTTTCTTCGGAGTCTGCGTGCCCAGGATCGAGCCTTAGTTGGAAGATCTCGAATTTGACTACGTATCAAAGTCATCTGTTGATTGATGCGTTCGCTAAGCATAGTACGTGAAAACTATAAAGTATTTAGTCTATAAGCTTGGCCTGGTATGGAGCTTGTGCATCTAAAAGGTTTTCAAGCAAGCCGGGCGTTTGTAAACTAGATGATTTTCTAAGGTTGATGGTCCACTAGGCAGAATGTATGATTAGAGCGCAGAATGGTCGGGGTGCAGAAACATTGAGGTTTAGGTTGATTGGAAGGCTGCATCTCGGTTACACGACGATTGGAGTACAAAAACCTTACTAATGCAAACCTTAAAGAAAGTTCACGCACAGACGCAGGTACAAGCATTGGCCAGCTGCAAATGGCCATAGCTTCCAGATTTGGTAGATGAACCTGTTGATCATTGTACGACTACTGTACATTGAGACAATGATAGGCTGATGTATGCGACAGAAATTCCATAGCTAGCTCACGCGGTTATGGCGGATGGCGTGGCTCGTGACACAATGGGTACGACCGAAGCTTGGAAGGTTCACATTTTGTCCTTAGCTCTGGACACAATATATACCTGCAGCTGTATTGATGCTAGTAGCTTGTTATGGAACGGTTATCGAAGGATGTTACGGAGTGCATTCGCTTACAAGTCGTGATAGAGTTCATATATACGATACGCAAATACAATCCTTAAAACTTTGGACCTCAAAAGCCAAGATACAATGGAGAAGGATACGATGAATAACGCATGGGAGACTGAGATTGCACTAATGCAACGTCGATCGATCTGAATCTGTAGATTGAATGAAAGACATCATGATGTACAAGGACAGTAACAGTTTGTATAGTAATAATTTGTCGTTTAGTTCATTAAATCTAAAGCTACAGGACTTCCTATTGGATCATGTACGAAGTTGTTTATGAGTGGAGGATATGATCCAGGATAACAATGATAGATGGAGGTCGAAGAGCGAGGAGTAAAGAATTATGGACAAAGAAAGGCTAATCCGAGGTTGCAATGATGATCTTCTTTGATAAGCTTTTCATAATATATTATACAAGCCGTCTAACTAAACATGTATAGTACAAGGTAATTATACACGAACAGATCTTCTACATGCTATCCTCAATAAATTTCCCCCAGGTTGCTAGTTTTGCGATAAATATTATGAAAAGATAAGCAACGGGTGGCGCATTTTAAACGACTTTTGACATGTAGACCATGTGATGCTGTAAGCTATCTACTAAAATACTGTGTGGTGTAAGGCTGAATCATCTGTATTCGGGTACCTGAGGTTTGAGTTCAACGTTGGAATTATGTTTTGTTTTTATGCTTTGTTTTTCTGAGGATTATGCATTGAGTGGAGGAATATGATATCAAAGGTATGGCAGATGAGTATCTACCGCTCTACAACTCGCACCAACGGGAATGAAACGGGGATAACAGGAGAACAAGATGACTGAGGAGATTGCAAGGTACTTCCTCATTCTCCTTTCGACGTACGCGTCCAATAAAATAGATTAAATCTATTCCCGACAATTATCCTGATACTGAAAATCTTGACTATCACAATCGGTAACTCAAACGATAAGCTGAATGAAGAATTACCTTCTAGTGAGTGAATTGCATGTTCACATAACATTTTTCATAGTAGGACGGCTGAAGAACGGATCTGAGTACCGACCCCCTAGACCTTTTATTATATGTATCCGCCTTTGAGATGGCATTGAACTACCAAGCTTATGATAATCCGGTATATGATAGACAGCATAAAGTCTCACACTAGTACCCTTTGTTCTTAGTGCTGAAAATCAGTGATCTAGGTCGATCTAATGAGAGCCATGAAGCCTGGGTACTTTGAGTCTTTGTGGAGTCATAAATGTATATCTATTCGCGAATCATGATTAATTAGTGTTAATAGCCCTATACTCATAGAATTCGACCTCATATCATCACCATGTTTCGAATATTGTCCGTTGATTGTAGACTACTTCGAATATAGCGGCATTGATATCTTCAGATGATCATCCTCAAAACTCTAGCTAACGGGAATAAAGAGACAGTCAGTGAGAAATGGACGAACAGAAACTATTTTCGTGCACTTCAGACGGAGTGGAGACCATTCAAAGTATAAAATTTTGACATCATACCAAGATAACTATCCAAAATCTATGTGCACTCTTTAGTAAACAGTCAAACCTAAGAAATCAGGAGTGAAAATGTCGGACAAGACCGAGAGCTAATGCGAACTAAGTTTGGGAACGTACGACTTCTGTTGATCTGCTGTCAACTCGGTCTTTGGTCTTTGACAGATGAAGAATCTTAGCGGAGATCTTTCTGTATTTCGAGTTCTGACATCTTCATTGGACTGGAGGGATTTATTTGTGGTACATAGCACAAGATCAAGGGGCAATTTCTCGCCAAGATTTTGTTCTCTTGCGTGGATATCCACGTCCAAGATGATCTATCACGGTGTCGCTATGATACACACAATAGATACATTCTACGCGGCAATTAAAAGCATCGTGATGGAGCTGGTGAGAAAGCGATGTATGATCGACTCCCTGTCTATCATGTAAAAATTGTGTGACGAAAGAGTTGTTTCAATCTGAACACATGGTCTTTAAGATCTGGCGCACTTGCCATCGAACGGTGATGTAACGGTAATGTAACGGCAATGTGCCGGTAATGTACCGTTTATGCACCATCCTTTGTCCAAGTATTGCTTTTTCAACAGAACGTAACGGCGAGGAACCCCAGGATGGGCAATGCACCATGAGTACATTCAAATTCGGGAATCACGTGCTAGACACGAGAACCAGAAAAGATCACGTATCTCAATTGAACAGAAAACAAGGAGAATCCCTCCGATGTGTATGCTAGAAGTGAAACAGATGTGCAACAAGACAGAT